GGAGGCAGGAGCTGGCCCAGCCCAATGGCCTGCAGCTCCTGTGTGCAGTGCCAGGAGCCCCAGGTGACTGCAGGAGCTGGCCTTGTCTTGTTCGAATGTGAGCACCAGAGGGCCCGGCTGGCTTCATGCACCACATAGAGCCCCTGGGTCTCAGGTGGTGCTGCATGCTGCGGGGGGTCTCTGCCAGCAGTGGGCCATGAGAGCCCCGACAGCCCGCTGCTGGCTGCTACTGCAGGGCAGCGGGGGCTGTGTGCCGTGGGGGTGGGCAGAGAACCCACCCCTCCCACACAGTCCCCCTCCCCACACACAGCTCCACTCTCATCCCCATGTTCCTGCTTACTGGGGACAGAGCCTGGGCGCAGACAGCTCAGGGAGACTGCTACAAGCCTTGCCCCGCTTCTATTTGTTCCAACATGCTGGAGCATGAGGGGCACCTGCTAGGCATAGAGGTGCTCTGGCCAGGTGCCAGCGTAGCAAAACCCCAAGTCAATACCAGAGTGGCTCTTTGGAGGACCCAGCCTCTGGTTGCTTCAGGGAATGCTCCAGGAGTGCACCCTGTACCACGTTTTTCTAGCGTGTTTTTTTGGGATACCAGAATTTGCCAGTATCAAACTTGGAGTCCATGCTGCAAATATGCAGCGTGGGGATCATTTTTTCATCCCTAGCATGCCTCCTGTGGTGTCTCAAACTGCTCTAAGCTGCCACAACAGGCACATGCTTGCTTGTCTTGCTGTGGCCTCAGAGGACATTGCTCAGCCTCTTAGAAGACACCCGTGCTTATGAAGAACTTTCTATAAATAAACCTCCTTCCCAAAGACTCATAAGGTGGTAACAAAAAGTCATCTTTGTCAAAATTATCCAGACTTACACTAAATGCTCCATATCCTACTGCCAATCTTTTGAGACAGCTTTTCTAAGAACTAGAATCTTGCCATTATCCCCATAAATAAAGTTCTAACTCTTAAATATTAAACTCAAATGCTCCAGTGCCAGACATGTTTTAAATAATAATTTTCTGCCTTTCTCCTTTTCTAAGTTTTTCCTTATAAAGTTATAAATGAAGCTAAATAAGTCCAACAGTGGAAGCTTTCTTTTCCCATTTCCTTTAAAATCTGACCTTTTCATTATATTTTTCTATTTCTGTTCATTGTGGAAAAGACTAATTACATTTCCCGGTCATTCATATAAAAACATTTTATTGGAAAACTAGTGCCAGACACTTCCTCCTTATTTGGTCTCTTTACAAACTTTAAAATAGAATAACTTTTCCCTTAGTTAAGTGCACCTGAAACAAACACATAATGGGTTTCAAATAGATGTCCACAATCACCACCCTATGCTGTCAACATTTAAGTATCAGCATATGAAACTGCACTTGTAGTGCAGCACGGGGAGGTACAAGCCTGCTATATATTTAGGATCTGGATGCAGTGAAGCTGGAAGATGGTCATCCTCTATGACAGTGCTTCTCAAAGTGGTGGTCCACAGACCGGTGCCGGTCTGCGAGCCACCGGTCGCCAGTGCACAGCGAGTTGCCAGGAAAGAAAGAAATATATTTTCAGAAGCATAACATTGATATGTCATAGCGCCACAGTTCATACGTTCCAACACTCCAGGTGAAGTCACATCGTGCAAGGTGAGGAAAGAGAAAGAAGCAGCCGGTCGTGCATTTGTGTAGCGCTGTTACACGCACTTGCTGCCACCGGCTGAACCGGGCACTGACCGGCCCACTGGAAAAAAAATTGCCGGTCCGCCACATCAGAGAGTTTGAGAAGCACTGCTCTAAGGCATCAACCTGCCGCCAAACCCATGGCTCAGGCCAATGATAAATCTCACTAAGTCCAGGTCTACCTGACACGCATGTGGCAGTTAGGAGTGTACGAAACTTGTGCCCTTATTTGACATAGCTATGTCAACAAACAGGCTTACTCATGAAGATGAAACTTGTGCTGGCAAAAGAGACCTTTTGCCTATATTGCTTGTGTCATTCAGGTAGCTTGTATAACTACGTCGGCAAAACACCTTTTTCCCTGTATATGCTGTATTTCAGCCTGGGGACTTTGCATATAGTATAGCTTTGCCAGAAAGTCTGTGTGTGATGGGTTTTAGTCAATGTTAACTTACACAAGGTTCCCCTTTGCTATGCCTGAGGCTTGACCAACCCAGTAGCTAATGAAGAATGCCTTGGCACCCTGGCTCCACAGAAGGCAGGATTGTGGCAGTAGGGCACAGGCAAACAAACTTTCTCCATTCAAACAGATTGCACATATAGCATATAAGATGTACAAGGTTTGGAGGGACTGAATGGACATTTGGAGCACAAATATAGCTAAGAAGTCATGATTGGGCACCTTCAAAATATATCTATTGACTAATGTTACAGTATAGGAGTTGCTGGCTGCATCTATGGGGGAGACTGCCAGTGAATGGCTTTTTTGTGATGCTACTGCACAGTAGCCTAATACTACTGAGCAGTAACGTCACATCACAGTTTTTGCCATGCAATGCTACTATGCTGTACTAATGGCCAAAGAAACAGCAGTAGGCTGCTCTAGAGGCTAAAAGGACACATCTGCAGTCAGTCAGGAGTACATCTAACAGGAAGGGGAGGAGCCCAGGGGATTTAAGCCTGGGTCCCTGAGACAGAGGGGCAGTACAGCCCTAACTGTTCAGGGAGAAGCGTTCCTGCCAGTTCAGGCTGGCAAGGAGCGGGGGCTATGGGCCATGTCAGGTATTCCCAGGCCTGAGAGAGCCAGTGAGCCATAATTAAGAGCCCCAAGACTTAATTAGGGCCAATAAGGCCAAGGATGTTGACCACTGGCTTAGAATAGTGCCAGCTAGACACTAATAGGTCAGCCAGGGCTCGAGAGACGCCTGCAGGGAACCAGAGAGTTTCGGTTAGCGGGCAGAGGGTCCAGAGATCACAAGAGGTCAGTTAGGCCAGTTATGTGTCAGTGAGAGCAGTCAGCGTCTCATGTAGGTGCGCCCACGGAGAAGGTACAATTAAGAAAATGAGGTGTAGTGGCTCATACAGGATTATGTACCTCTTTCATGCAGATTACATTAGTCTGACTCAGTTTCAGAGAAAGCTGCATTGGGCATCTCCAAAAATGCCAGGGATTCATTTAATAATTGTAATAGGACTAACAGGATTTTTAAAGGAGCCCAGGTAAGTGGAGGCACATATTTCATTCAATTTTACTGACTGAGGTACTCAACCCTTTTAGACCCTTTTGGAGATGCCAGGCACAATGGTTGCAAGGCTATATTTTAGTGGGATATTAAGAGGCGTGGACTTGATCCTGGAAAATTACTTGGGATTAAAACTAAGTATAAAGGTTTTGCATAGGTCAAAATCAAGGTGAGGGGTGGTAATACTGCTTAGCAAGGTTCAGAGGGAAAGAATAGAAATATTTTCTGTTTTTAAGGAGGCATTCAAGGTTTGTTAAGGAATATAAATTTAGTTATAACTCTCCTTCTTACTGTTGATATTGTAGTCAGCTGGACAAAGCAAACCAACTTTGGTTCTGAACTTAAACACGGAGATAGAGCCTAGTAGGGTTAACCGTCTTGCTACATGTATGCGCCTGTCTCCCACCTGCATTAACACGAATCCTTGTGAGATTTTTCAGTCATCCAGATGATCTGACTACCAAGCTCTCGTTAATATGAATAGGATTTACCCATCCAGTTCTCGCACTCAGCATTGAAAATTTCAGTCTTTGCTCACTGTTAAAATACATGAGGAAAAATAACATGCACCAACTCTTTAAAAGTTTTACATGTACTTTATGCAAATATTTGTTTACATCAAATGTTTCATATAAAACCCTTGAGACAGGTCTTATGAGCAATGACTTCAAGTGTTTGAGCTTATTCTCAACAGAGAAAATTGGCAACTGACCTGCATAGTTGTAATTATGTAGGATTTGAGGAGCTAAACTAAAAACTAAGAATAGAAGTTTCTGGCAGCAGGTCTCATAGTCTGATGCCCAGGAAAGGGGGAATACATTTAGAATCCAGACAAGCCATTTAACTGGGAAGAGAAGTTAATACATGAAGGGATTTGCTCAGTAAAACAAATAGAGCACATTTAACGTCTCAGAGATGGACCCAGTTGGAGCAAATGATGGGAGAAGAGAGGAGAGGAGGCAAAGGAAAGACTTCCAATAAGCTTCAGGGGAAGGCTGTGATTTGGGGGCTAACTCCAGTCTAGCAAATGCTTCCCTCAAGTCCGTCTCTTTTTCTCGACTGCTCCGAATTTGGATTTTTTTTTAATGCAGGAACTTATGAGGATGTGAAGCTGGCTTCAACTAACAGCATGGCCCCGACGTTTCAAAAATACTTCCTAGAAAGAATGGGGGGAGCCGGTTGTGCTGCTAATGATCACCCCCTCTGTGGGCTCCTCTCTGGAAAATGTTTAACCGGGCTTTTTCAGATGCTTCTAAAGATGTCGAAACCACTGAACAAATATTGACCGAGAGGCCCCACGCGGACAGGACAACAACACGGCTCTTATATAACCACCCCCCGCCCCCCAACCAAACAAACCCCAAACCCCCAAGGAAGGAGGAATCGCTGGGAATTCTGCTTCCTAGCTCGGGTGGAGCTGCGGCGAGCCCGCCAGCG